GGGGGGGGGGGGTGTCACCTTCGGAGAGGCATAAAGCAGAGGAGGTGGGAAGAGGGACAGGGGGCCCAGCGCATCAGAAGAACAAGGTGGAGGGTCTGGGATGGTGGCTCACCAGGGGCTGAGTGCTCCCGGAAGGAGTTGTTGACCAGGGGGAAGTGCAGCACAGCAGGGGCTTCAGGGCAGTCGGGGTCCAAGAACAGGTGGCATTCCTGCGGCTGGCGCTGCTCCTCAGGGCTGGGCGAGATGGGTGGGAATGGGATCCCCTGCTCCTGGCAGAATCGGCCCAGAAGCTGCAGCTGCTGCAGGGCGGGCAGAAGTGGCATCAGAGAGGCCCCCAGAGCTCCCCAGTTTCAACAGCAGGCTGACTGAACGTGGAGGTCCGCTAACACATGCAGGACTTAGTGCCCAGAGGCCAAACCAGACTCTAGTGGACCCAGGAGAGCCAGGCCAGACTTGGAAAAACACTCTAAACCTGGCAGCCCTCCTGCTGCAGCTCCACTGGGCTCAACTGAGTGGGGCTGCTAACACCACCCACGTTCTGCAATTGGGAGGCAAAAACCTTCACTGGACCAGCACAGAAATTCAAAGCAGGGGCCCCAAGGTCCAGGGCCTATCGGGGGTGCGGGTACAGCAAAGGGGACCCATATATAAAATACATTTAAACACACTGCCAGTTCCTCCATCACTCCAACTTCAGGAGCAGCATGAGTTCCCCTGGCTGTGGATTCTATGAATTCAGTTTCCTGTTCACACAGTGTCACTGTCACAGCCCCTAAGGGAATGTGGGCCAGATACTGGACTCCAAAGCAGTTCGCCCTAAAGGCATAGTCAGGATGTCAGGGCAGGCCTGGGGTTGCCCACCATCTGCCCACAGCCCACCTGAAAGGCTCCATGGAGGTTGTAATCCAGCGACAGGATGAGGTCCACATCCCTTGTGGGCCGCAGGAGGGGAAGGCAGCTGGTGTTGATAAAGTAGCCAACATCCAGTAGGCAAAGGTAGGGCTCTGCAGGTGTCAGCTGGTTGGGGAGCCCGTCCAGTTTGGTGGCTGGAAAGGTTGGGGGGAATGGGGTGAAGCAGCTGTCACAGCTGCTCGGGGCACCAGCCCCTCAGGCCTAATGCCAGCCCTTGCTGCTGGTGGAAGAAGACTCTGCCCTCCGGCCCTGCTCTCACCAAAGTGGCATCTCTACTGCCTGAGGCCCTGCTCCCCAACATAAGGAGAGAAAAAGGGGCTCTCACTCCAAGCAGCCCAGGGAACTGAGCTCAAAGGGCATGGGGACAAAGTATTACAGAGTGTCAGTGAGTGTCAGTGTCTGGACCAAGGACCCAAGGCTCAGCCAGCCATGAGATGACTCTGGAGAGCTGATACCGGGGCAGAAAGCAGATACCTTTCCAGGTGGAGAAGTGAGGATGCTGGAAATAGTCTTTATGGAAATGGAGGCCATATAGGAAATTGTGGGTGGCCTGGGAAAGTGGGCGCCGCGTCAGAAGGTCAGTGAAAAACTCAGCGATCCTGCCAGCCACAGTGGGAGGCTCTTCTATCTTCAGAAGGGGGACCTGCTCCTTGTCTGCAGTCAGGAGAGAAGGAAGTGGGATGTCTTTCAGGAAATGGGTGCCTCTGTGGACTCCCAAAGGCCTGAGATTCCACATTCCCCCAAATACAGACCCACTGGCTGCCCCACAGCATCCTTACAAGGAATCCTACCCAGGTTGGCACCTACCCAGGTTGGCCTGATCCTGTGCCCAGCGGTCCCAGAACTGGCGGGGCTCTGAGGCCCAGTATAAGCTGTCCTGGAGGTTAGCTGCATACAGGTTGCTCCAGATGCCTGAGACGGGACATGTAGGGAAGACAGTCCCCCACCCCGTCAGAACCTGACCCTTCCCAGGGCCCATCCTGGACCAGGAAATGTCTCAGTGACTGCACTTGGAAGGTCAAGGCCCGCCCCCTCCCCCAGGCCCATTCTCCCTACTACCCCCAGCTTTTCCAGCCTTCCCACCCCCTTCACCTTCCAGGAAGCAGATTCGAGACTCAGGAAGCCGCTTCATCAGTCGCCCCATGAAGAACTCAGAGCCAAAGAGCTCAGACGGGATGAAGGCGCCGTACTTGGGAAAGCCGACCTCATAGGGGGAGAATTCGCACCACTCTGTGAGGAGGCCACACAGCCTTACCATGGGGCCCAGAACCTGAGGACCCTTGGCACCAGCAGAGCCACCACAGCTTCACACCAGGGCAGCATGGTGACCAGGCGGCTCAGCCTTTTATTGCTGGCACTCTGGGTATGAGACCTAAGGCCCTTGCCCCCATCCCAAAGCCTGAATGGCAGTCTCTGGAAAGCCTGGGTGGGGCCTGGCCCAGAAGAGTGGGTATAACACCCACATCCCACACACAGGCCCAGCTATTCTCACCCCACCAATCACGAAAGCATGGGTCTCAGTTCCAGGCTACTCACCTGCAAATTCAAAGGTAGTCAGGTTCTTCTCCTTGGTGTTGAGGGCACAGTAGATGGGCAGAGGATTCTGGCCTCGACTCAGGGCCTCCCGCTGGTCTGAGAGTTTGTGATCATGGGGCTGGAGTGGGGGAGGGCAGGAGGGGAGGATGTGAACCTAAAGCCATGGCTGCCTGGGGCCTTTCCCACGCCCTGCTCCCAGGCTGCACCCTCCCCCCACCTCATCATGCAGCAGTGCCTCGTTGATGAGGGCCCACAGGTTGGTGAAGCAGGTCGGGTAGCCCAGGCGGGCACGCTCGGCCAGCTCCTGCCGATACCGCTGCAGCTGACTGGGGGCCAACACACCCAGCTTGCTCTTGGTCACCTGGGTCTTCAGCAACTTGGTGGGCCCTGCCAGGTCCTTTTGAGACCACTCTGGGTCCTCGTAGAGGTTGGCCAAAGCCCTAGGAAAAGCCAAAGCCAGGGAACAATTACTCAAGGACCCTACTGCATACCTGGGGTCTCTGTTCTAAGATAACAGCCTCGCAGGCACCTTCCAAGGGACCCCTGAGCACATCTGTCTGGCACACGAACCCACTCAGCCCTTTCAATGTAATCAGAGGGGCCTATGAGGTCTAAGAGCCTTACCACCTGCACCCCTGCCATTACTCAGCCAGCCACCCCCAGGCTCCTATACTCAACCTGCCGCCAGCTCACCAGGTGGATCCCGAGGCCCCTGTGATATAGGAGATGCAATCCAAGAGGCCCAGCTCCCTCAGACCTGCCAGCTGCCCAAACAGGGAAGTCATGGCTCGGATCCCACCTCCAGTGGCCATAACAGCTACCACTGGGATCTGAAAGAGAAGACAGCCAGGCTCACAGAGGCCTTAGGGAGGGGGAAGGCAGAGCCACAGGAAGAGGAGGTAGTAAGCCAAGCAGCTGCTCAGCCCAAACACAGCTAAGGCTGCTCAAAATCTAATCGGGGCTCTTGGGACCAGTTCTAGTCAGGCATGCTGAGGGGGGTCTAATCAGAAGTAAGTAGCCTCTTGAGGGTCAGGTTTGTCTGGTTTTAAGAACTCCAGGGAAACTGGACCACACAAGTTCCAGGCCTCATCTCCTCACCTCTAGCCCCTGAGTAATCTGGTGGTCGCTTTCTGGGAGCCCCAGGGCCACCTCAAAAATCTCCCATGTAGCTGCCCCTCTCCCTCTTGCAGGAAGAGGTCGACCTGACCTCCAGGGACTGCCCCAGGCCAGCAGGCAGCCCTCAAGCTGTACGTCTCACTGATCAATCAGACCAGACCCAATCTCACAACCTGGACCAGGCCAAGGTTCAAGGAACAACGAGAAGGAAAGCTAGCCCAGTGGGGCAGCTGCAACTTCCAAGTGTCTCATGCAATGCTCCAAATTTAATGTGATCAAGCTCCTGATAACATCAGAGAGAGGGCAGAGAGCAGGAGCAGGCAGAGCCCAGCTCAACACCTGCTCTGGTTTGGTTAGGGAACAATCAGTTCCAGCATTTAGCATGGGAATCTGGGCCCGAGCAAGCCCAGGGATGCCTGCCCCATCCAGCCCAGACCCAGACCTCATCCTCCTGCAGGTCTCCATCCAGCTGCAGGGCCTGCTTCAGGGCCTTGGCCACCACCTGCTTCCTCCTGCTCAGGAAGGCATGCTCCTCAGCACAGGGCCCACAGCCCAGCCGCACAGCCAGCTCCTTTGGTCTGTGTGGAAAGGAAGGACCCATGAGGCAGCTCCCCAGCCTTGTCAGAGAAAGGGAAGCTGGGTCTTCCTCTCTGAAAAGCTCACTGCCATCTCTTCTCTCCTTTCCTCTCCCCACTTCTCATCTCTCCTGTGTCCTGGCAGAAATGTGACACATGTGGATTTGAGGGGGAGAGGGGGAACCCAGACCCATGCAGCCACACACTGGGAAAGCAGCAAAGAGGAGTCACAGAAATAGGAATACCGGTGACTAAAGAGGCCCCTCTGGGACCCCAGGTGCAAACAGACCCCTGGGTGGCACCCAACACCACAGTTCCACTTCCACCTCTTAGCTTCTCTCCCTCACCCACCCGAAAGTGACAGGAACCAGTGTTCCCACCTCATGGTAAGCAGCTGGTCTCCCAGGCACGTGGAGGGCCAGTGCAGCAAGTCCTTGTCTTATGAAGGTTAGCTAAGGTCCACGCATACTGATGCCACCTGAAGTGGCGCCATTTCTCTTCTCTCTTGGTTTCCTTGCCCTCTCTGTGCCCCATACCACTCTCATCTTCCCCATTTTTCCAGCCAAATGTTTATCAAGTGCCTCCCAAGTGCCAGGCACGGGGCTAGGCACACCCCCCTCCAACTAAAGCAGAAATGCAAGTAAAATGTGAAAAAGAGCCTTCATCTGCTCAGGCTCCCACACATCATGCTCCACCCTGGGAGCAAACCCCTGAGCACTAACAGACGATTCCAGGCAGTTGTGCTGGGAGCCACCCCATCTCTCTCCTTCTTTCCTCCAGACCGAGTACCTGACCATTGGCCACTGTCCCTGGCTGCTTTCCCCCGTGACCTTTCTCAGTGCCCAGCCCAGCCTCTCACCCTTCTTCTTTTTTCAGCTCCACCCTCATCAGAGGCTCCTGAAAACATGAATGCTCCAGTCACTAAGGTGAGCCACCCTGCTCCTCTCATCCCAGCCCGAGCCACACCCCATGATATCCTCATGCTCCCTTGGGCCCCCAGCCATCTCCACAGGGGCCAGGACTGACACCTGAAGGAAGGGATGCTCAGAGGACCCCTCCCCAGAGCCTGGCCCAGCACTTATCCAGGGTGTAGCCTAAGGACAGAAGCTGCTACTGAAGCAGAACATCCTTCAAGGCCTGGGCCCGGCCCAGCCCTGCCTGTGCAACTGGCTTTCTTCCTCCAGTGACCAGTACCTGGGACGTAGGGAAGACGAGTCTCACCACCTGGCCAAAGGGCAGGACCCTCAGGGGCACCTTCAGTTGCTCCTGGGGGGCATCCTGCAGGAGGGGTGAAAAAAGAACTGAGAATCTCTACCTTTTCTTTCCAGCAAGGACTTCATCATTGCTCCTAGGAGTGAAAGAAAAAAGCAGGAAGGGGGACACGAGGCCAACGTCAGCTCCACACTCTTCCCAGGGTGCCTGACCCTGCCAGGAGATGAAGGGGGTGGGTGGGCTCAAGGTGAACAGAGGGACAGTGTGGAAAGAGGTGCTGAGGGCAGGAGAGGAGAGTGTCTGGGGGCCCCTCATGGGAGCCAGTGGCACACTACCTGCAGGTGAACACTCAGCTCCTGCTCCCAGCAGGCCGGGCAATGGAAGCAGGAGGCAGTGCCCACTGAGGCCTCCTGTGGACCCTCACAGGACCCAGGAACCACAAGCTGAACTCTGCCTTCTGACCCTGGAAACACAGACCAGAGCAGAGAGGCTGGGGAAAGGATCTCAGCCCACAGAGGCCCTCGTCTTGCCTAAGGGGCCTGGAGAGCACTACCCTCCCCTCACTGAGATGGATGCCTGGCCCAGGACGAGGCTGGAGATGGAAGGCCCCCTCCACAGCGCCTCTGGGGACTAAGGGGAAAAGCCCCAGCATGGATGTGCCCCACCACCGCCCCTGTTCCTGCCTGAGAGCTGAGTACATCTAGTGCAAGGTCCCCTCCAAGTTCCCCTTAGGGAAGGCTGAGGTCTATCCCTGGGGTGAGGGACTCACCATTCTGGTCCCCGGCCTCCTCCAGTCGAACATGTAAGCAGGAGAGCTCCCGGCCCTGAGTCATTAAGAGAGCCCCTCAGGTATGAACCCCTCCTGTAGAGGCTCCCACCCACCTAGCACCCTGGTTCTTGCTCCTCAGAACTTTATTACCTTGGCCTGAGTCACCAAACATTTCCTGAGGTTGTATCCTCTTGAGGAACTGAAATCTCAGGGTCCCCCAACTCAGCTCTGACTCCCAACCCCCATGGTGGGCCTGACACTTGGGGAGGAGAACAAGCAGATGGCTTAAGAGAAGGGTTCTAGACTCACCACCAGGATGCCATTGCTAACAAGCTGCTCAGCACAGTCTGTCCTGAAAAGAGCCCCCAATTACCCTAAGTAGGGGTCCAGGTTCCCAGGTACTCACCCCCCAAGGAGACCTGGGCATTCCTCCTCTATCACTGGACATCTCTCAGGGAAGGGTGTCGCCTCTGGGCACTTAGCACCCTGTCCTTCCCAGAAGGAAGCACTCCCACCCAGGAATTGTCCCACGGTCCCTGACTCACAGACTCTGCAGTCGAAATTCAACTTCCAGCTGCTCCTCACCCTGGAGACAGAAAGAAGCAAATTAGAAAGGGGAGGGAGGAGGAGAGAGGGAGAGAACAGATTCCAATCCAGACACAGCTGGGGCTGCTGGGACCCATGGAGGGACAGCGATTGTCCATCGCCAGACTGCTCCATTCATCTTCTCTGGACTGCCTCAAGAAAGCTGCCCTTGGCTTAGGTGTCAAGAAAGAACGTTGGGGACAGGACTGCTTCCCAGGAGACTATAGCTACTGAAAAAGATGGCCACATGTACTCAGCTACCCTCCCAATCATCTCCCCTCCCCAGGGTGAAGGGCCTCCCCTGCCCTGATGTAGTCTTGCCTGAGGGCTCTGGGGGAAGCTTTCCCGGCGGAATTCCCCAATCCGCAAAGTCCCCACGTCATACAGCACCGACAACACGGGGTCGTCACTGGTCAAAAGATCCTGGTCAAAGACTTGCAGTTGTACGACATTCTGGAAGGGGAACAGAGTGAGGGGACTGCAGGAAGGTGGGTGGAAGAGGAAGGTGAACGGGGCAAGGAAGGAGGGGCTGGGGGGGGCAGTGGCAGTGGACAGGGACAGGGAGAAGGGTGGGGCTGACTCCTGGCCCACCTTGAGCTGGTTGTGGATCCGGAAGCGAAAGCTCTGATTCCAGATGGGGTTTCTGCTGTTCTTAACTGTGCGTGTCTGGAGCCTGTGGCTGGAGGCCGTGGGCAGCCACAGAGTCACATAGCAGTCAGAGGGGGTCACTGTGGGAAGGAGACACGAGCAGCTGGTGATTGCTACGACCCCTTCCCAGCCCGGCCACCCATAATAATCCACGTCTTTCCATCACAGGCAATGCTGGAAGACCCAGAGACCCAAGGAATGGGGCTCAGTCAGGAGGCAGGAAGAGCAGAGGCAGAGCCCTGAACATGATTTTCCACCCAG